TTAGCAGCATGGTACTGTTAGCAGTGAGGTTCTTTTAGCAGCATGGTATTGTTAGCAGCATGGTACTGTTAGCAGTGAGGTTCTTTTAACAGCATGGTACTGTTAGCAGTAAGGTTCTTTTAGCAGCATGGCACTGTTAGCAGTATGGTTCTGTTAGTGGCGTGGTCTAGTTAGCAGTGCGGTCCCGTTAGCAGCATAATGGCCGTGACAACGGACGATTGCACTCCAGAATTGGGTCTGGCAGACAGAGAACATCCAAGGTTTTCCCCACGGAAACAAACTGTTTCGTAGAGTTTGGTCTGTGCAGGCAGATGGAGGATCATGGAGACTGCCGCCACGACAGGCCGGAGCCTGAGCCCGAGGCTGGATGGGGCCGGGAACTGATCCATGAAGGCAGGATGGCAAGGCATTGACACACAAAACCCCAAAAGTGTGTTGCGGTCATACCCGTAGCGTGAGTGTGCAGTGTAAGCGCAAAAAAAGTTAAAACAAAAACAACAGGAACCAAGAAAGAGTGAGTCGAAGTGGAGCTCCGGTCAGTGTGGCCATACTGCAGCGCACGTGACGTAACCCACATGTTCACAGAGTTCAGATTTTAGGATGAGCATTTACAAGTTGATCATGTTGATCGCAAATAGTTGGTGCGTTTTTTCTTATTTCACATCCATTTTCATTTATACAGTGACATAAAGTAAGTAGTAAGTAGTGGGAGTGGTGGCGCAGAGGTTAGAGAGGTGGGCTTGTGATCCGAAGATTGCCGATTCACGCCCCGGCCCTGACAACATCAAAATTGTGGGTGGGGTAGGTGAAACACTCACACTTGCCCCCACCCTCATTCGCCCCACTCTGGGCCCATGAGCAAGGCCCTTAACCCCCACCATGTGCTCCCTAAAAAACAGGTCTCTCTTGAAAATGAGTTCTCGTGGCTCAATGAGACTAACCTGGATAAATAAAGGCTAAATGAAAAAAAAAAAAAGTAGTTACGTACCTTAAAACAATAAACTACTCATTTTATGTTATAGTCATTTCACTGAAAACACTTTTCTCACCTATTTACAGTTGCAAGTCTAAATATTGGTAATAATTTTTATTTCCCTTTTTGGAAAAAAACAACAACAACAAAAAAAAACATGTAATTTCCTATTTAACTGGACAAAACCCCAGTCCACATTAATCTGTGTTCGTTTAGACCGTTTCAGATTATTTGCTGCTTTTGGAACAGGATTAAAGCTGTAAACTGTGCTACCACTTGTGACTGTCAAACACATCATTCTTGCAAAACGAGCCTCCGGGCTTCGCTTTGCTGAAAAGGAGGAGGTGAAAAAATAGTAGTCCTAATAACACCAGAGGCAGCTGTGACTCAGAAGAACTGAACATCTGGACTCCTTGACGACTCAGCGTGAACCCGCTAATAAAAAACAACTATCTCACCACAAATTAACACTTGCTTTAGTCCCACTAGGTAAGAAAGTACCGACCGGTGAAAGCAAAGTTCCTATTTTTGTTGAGTGAACTTTGGTTTTGAACAGGGGTGAACATGATTAGTGTATCTGTCAGGCTCATGGGTTGTTTATCTCTACAGGACAGCGTGATGACTGTATCAGCGTTGAGAGCAGACGGCACAAAACGAGCAGCGAAGAGTCGCACAGTCCCAAAATTGTGAATGAAATGAGCCCAACTTCCAACCACAGCTTTTCCTGGGATTATAATTCGTCCTTCCCCAAAACGATTTCAGAAATCAACCAAGAGCTGCTCACATCAGGGGCTGTGGTCCTGCCAGGTAAGGACACCTGTTTCAGTCGGCTCTCTACTAATCAGCCAAATCTTTTTGATAATACACGATAACGCTGCTACGACCACGCTTCAGTGATTTTGGTTTTGTCGGCCTGAGGTATCATTTTCCCCCTTTCTACCTTCTCCCTAACAGGAAACAGAGATCGTGGTGGGAGGGCAGTGCTGCAGGTGTGCACACGAGCTCAGGTGTGGGCAGGTGAGGCGTGCACAGTCAACAACCTGACCTGTTTACTGGGCTACTACCACTCAACCCTGCGGTGAGGCTCACATGTTTAATCACTGTTATTCAACACAAGAGTAAAAAAGGCACAATTTAACTAATAATGGACAACTTTACACCTGTCATTACACTACTGTACTGAACTATATTAATAGAGTTGACAATTGGACCTTGTTAAACGTATCAATGTGTTTTTCTTGAAATTTTAAACTTGCAGATAAATAAAGAAATGAGCTATAACAAAACTTTTTTGGTTATATTCACAATACTGTGCAAATATTTTAAACCTGCGCTCAGTTTCTTATATTTTATTTCTATAAACCCAACATTTTTGTTTTCTTTGAAAGTGATCTTGATTAATAGATCTCCACTCTTTCATAAGGACTTTATTTATTTAATTTTTTGTAGCATTTTGGCTGCTTTTTCACTTACTTTATTGTTTTTATATTTTTGTCTAGCTGTCATTACAGCAGCATGTTATTTGTGGCGAAGTGTCCAAAAATAAAATAAATCCAGACCAGGAAAGACCCAGATTCATCAACTGATTGTCAAATTTTCATCAAATAACTCCCTGTGAATCATCTTGTGGGTGCAAATAATATTATGTATCAAACCAAGTTATCTTTGTTTTTTATTTTATTTAACAGTTTTTATTTATGTATTTATTAATTTTGCAGATTAAGCTACAAACAGTGTGACAGACTGCTAATTAAACATTACTAGCTAGCCAAGGTAGCTAAGCTAACTTAGTAGTTTTCAAATCATAACTAACAAACAAACTAAGGAAACAAATTTTGTCTTTGTGAAAGATATAAAGTAAAATAATAGTCACTAACAAATTACAAGTAGCTATCTAGTAACTTGATAATGGCAACTAGCTCACAAACAGGAACAATGTGTCTTTGTGACAGAATACTACCGTATTTTCCACCGTACACGTCCCACCGCCCTATAAGTCGCATCTGTCCAAATATGTCTAATAAAGTGGAAAAATCCATAAATTTGTCGCTTCGGGGTATAAGTTGCAGGGCATGCAAATTATGCAAAAAAACGCGACTTATACAGCAAAAAATATGGTAGTAACAAAGTTACTAGCTAACAAATTACAACCAAGGTAGCTGACTGACTTGCTAAATGACTTTACAGTGACTAATGGGCAGCACATGCTCAAATAGTTCCATAGCTTTTTCTGGTAATCATGTTCAGTGCTCACCTCCATTCGTTTGGTCCTTTATACTTTTTATTGTAACTTAAATACAAACGTGTCTATAAATTAGGTTTGTTATTTTATATTGTGAATGTTCTAAACATGCAATGCTGCCAGGCGTCAGAACTGCAGAGCAGCTGAAACAGATGAACGCTGTTCAAAGTGTGGATCCATGCCAACCACTGATAAAGGTGAACGCATCAAACTTTAATATTTGTTAATAATGTTTCATTGGTAAGGTGGCCATAGTCAGTGATAGTAACAAATATACACAAACGACAAATAAAATTTGATTAAATGTTAAAGAAATGGAAGTACCGTATGCATTAAGCTACGTAGGGTTATGCAATGTAATGCAAAATACTGATACTGCATGTGCATTAGTAACTGTAAACAGGTCAATGACTACTTGCTAATAAACAGAGGGAGAAAAAAAAACTTGTGTATTTGTGACAAATTTCTAGTAATAAAAATCTATCAACAGTAATAAAAACCTATTTTTTGCTAGGTTGTTAGCTATGTGTCAGCAAAAACACAAGTTCACCTCGTGAGTTTAGGAGCTTCTTGTGCCTGAATGATTCACGGTGAGAGTTAAGTGGTCTAACAAATAAACTTTAAAATAGGACTGAAAACATGGATATATGTGGCCAAAGTACAAAAAAATTTAAATACTTTGAAAAAATTTATAGCATGAAAAACTATTTTTCATGACCACTTCGATAGATTACATGAGAATCGGACTCCTTGGAAGTAAAATAAAAAGACATGAAGGTTGACACGACTTTTTACAACTCCAAACAAACAGCGTTCCTGTGAAAATAAATACCAAGTGTGGATGCCTTTGATGCAAATCAAGCATCTTTTACTTGCACACAAAATCCCTTTAAACCAGCTTAAAAAGTCACGAGACACTCGTATGTTTGGTGGTTTTCTTCCTAAGAATAGTCGTTTCTGTGGTTTCGCATGCAGCCAGGTGTTTTGACAAAAACAGGACAATAACTGTAACGCTCTGGTTTTAGGAAAGAAAGGCGTGATCAAGGCCTCGCTGTCGTAATAGACAGCAGAAAGCAGCAGCAGGCTGTCCCAGCTCTGTTGTCATCCCTGTTTGAATTTCAGGTGAGCCCACAGTGGAAAATATGTAATTACCCTCCAACACGCCCTAAAGCTTTTTCAACCTCGCTAAAGTCTCTGCTGTCCTCTAACGCTGTAATGCTACGTCTCTCACCCAGAGTCATGATATTATGTCATTCCTTTCATGTTTGCTATTGTTCTGCTCCTCAGACAGTGTGCGGTTGGTGTTTTTGTAGAGGCACACCTTAAACTTACAGTGCCTGCAGTGCCAAGACTTTTTTTTTTATGTCTGGCCTCAGGGCCCTCATTGACAAGCCTGTCTTTACTTGACTGTTTTTAACCACCAGCTGGGAGCTGGTTGGCTAGAATCAGATACACATCATCATAGTATGGTTGGGATCTTTTTTAAGGGTTCTGTAATGATGTCCCTAAATGGCCGTTTTTAGTTGTTGGTGTCAGAGAACTTTGCTGAGTTTAATTTATTGTTTTTGAATGAAGTGTAAAGTTGTTTGTGCTTGTTTTTTTTCTCAGACCTTATTACCCGATGCACTTTATTCAGTTCTGTTCCTGGTGGACAAAGATGGGTCGGCCAAACTTGACAGAGACCTTAACGTGCAGGTAAAATGTCTCTTAGCAAGATTTCAAATTAAATGAGCCGGTTAGTAAATTTTTGTTCATCTAGTCAGAGTCAGAGATTCTTTATTGCCATTTGCACCACATGTGGTACATGTGATGGAGCTAAATTATGTACACAGGGTCCCAGTTACATCCAACAATAAAATGTATAAGGAAAACAGTAATAAGATAGGAACTAAGAAAAACATACACTGAATACACACTAAGCACTAATAGCATAAAAACATTACGTCGAACATCAGCACAAACATGAACATGAGTCTGTGTGAGCAGATGAGCACGCATGAACACATCAACATGAAACAGATCAGCAGCAACATTGAAACAGATCAGCAGCAACATGATGTGATTTTTTTCACAATGATTATTCTGGTTAGAGATTCATGAGTCTAACAGCCTCAGGGTAGAAGCTGTTATTCAGTCTAGTGGTTCTACACTTAATGCTCCTTAACCTCCTTCCTGAGGGGAGCGGGGCAAAAAATGTGTGTGCTGGGTGAGTGGGGTCCTTCATGATGCAGGTGGCCCTCTTCCTGCATCTGGAGGTGTAGATGTCTGTGATGGTGGGGAGACTGACTCCAACAGTCTTCTGTGCAGCCTTCACCACTCTCTGCAAAGCTTTTCTTTCTGCAGCTGTGCAGCCTCCATGCCACACGTGTGTCTAAAGGTGGTGTCTAATGTTTTGTAACACAGTCTGATGGTCGAGGTTGGGTACAAGCAGGGCTTATCCTTTAAAGTTTCTGTTGAGATGAGACGAGCAGAACATTTTGATGGAATCTCGGTGTTTGCTTAATCTTTTCTTTTTCTTGGCACAGACTGAGACACTCTCATCCCTGAAAGCCCTGCTAAAGCACATCGACCAAACCCAGCTGACCCGAGACCTAGACGGCACCTTCCATTATGACCACGAGCACTGGATCGGCTTCAGACAGGTTTGATTAACAAAAATGTTGTCGTCGTTATCGCCTTTTGGCAGCGGACGAAAACTTAATTGCTTATTTATATATGCGCATGTGCATGTCTGATTGTTAGTAAAATATATCATAAACCATTAGCTGATCATGGGTTGGGTTTGGGATCTCTCTGTGTGGAGTTTACATGTTCCTCTTTTGTTTGTGTGGGCTTTCTCTGGGTACTCTGGTTTCCTCCCACAGTCCAAATTCTTAGGCTGCCTTCAGGCCCAGAAGGACCATGAAAAGTTATCTATGATCTCAATGGGATTTGCTTGGTTGAATAAAGGATAAGTAAGTTAAATAAAAAATAAATATCTCATAAAGTAATTGTTGAAGGACATCTACAACTCATTACCTTTTGAAGTCAACTTAATTTAAAAAAAGCCTCCATAAATAATCACCTTTAGAAAACACAGGCGCGGCTAAAACTCAATCAGTTTTATTAATGTTTAATTAAAATTTGACATGGTAGTAGCTGAGAGTCAACAACACTTGCTCTGACCGTTAACAGATTACATAAGTTTTTTATTTAAAAATTTATTTTGTCATGTGAGATCTGCTTCCTTTGTCCCTCCAAATCTTTCACAGAATGCTACATTCATGTTTAATACATTTGTTCAGTCGGCTTTACAAGGATGGAGACGGCATTCTGATAGTTTGTTCTTCTGGTCATTGGCATCAGAAGCATTTGTAATGTGTGGGGGGACATACTGGTGTGCGTGTGGGGGTGGATCTCGGGGTCCTCCCCCAGAAAATTTGGAATAAAGTAGATGCCATTTTCTGCATTCTGGTGTATTTTAACAGGTTGTTAAACTTCTATGTTTACTTACATATGTAAAGACTTGATTCAATAACTATTTTAGAGAGCACGGCACAAACCTGACCAACAGCTCTCCTTGTGTGAACAGAGCACGCTCCGCCTCTCTCAAACATCCTAGCCACCCCGCCCCGGCGTTGAAAATTGCCAGAACTAACATAGCGCTAAGCTAGCAGCACGCAATACAGATGCATTAGCTAAGATGCTACAGATGTAGCACTCTGCTTCTCTCACGCAAACTAACCTGCCATCTCGGTCAACAACTGCCAGCACTAACTGGCGCTAAGCTAGCGCGCAAAACAAAGGTGTCTCCACCTCCTCCCCCCATGAGCGCCCTGCCAAGGCAGATGACCTCGGGGAAACACTGCATGTAATGAGGAGTTGTTGTAGGTAACCAGGAAAACCCGGAGTGGACTTTTAGTGGTTTGAGTGTTCTCCTATTAATCAAGTGGAATGGATTCATTCACAAAGAAATAGGAACAGCGCTTGGTGTGTGTGTGTGTGTGTGTGTGTGGGGGGGGGGGGGGGGGTGGTGTTTTAATATTTTTTAGAGGTGTGGGTTGGGGGGGGGACATGTCCTTTACACAGATAATTGTTGCAACGCTTATGCTTCTGGTTAAATCGCAAGTTTTGTCAATGTGGGCAAAAAAATGACATAAAAAATAGAAATCCGTTGTAATTGCTGTTTTTCTAAAGCTGAATACAGTTACAGAAAAAAGGAATCCTTGAGCTTGTCGAAACAGGATCAGTTTCCCATGTGGCAATAGCTTTGTTTTGACTGCTGACGTTAATAATCCCTCTCTGTCTATATCGCTCCTTTTTATTTTCTTTGCAGAAAGTTGAATCATTTGCTAGCAGCTGCAGCGCTGCCATCAACTTCCTTCAGGAGTCCATCAGCATGCTGAGTGCCAGCAGCAGCCTCAAGACCTCAGAGGTAAGCCGACAGGTACGCCGCCCTGCTTTAACACCTGTCTCAATCTTCTTTTCTGCCTTCCACTTAGGTGATAATCCACTCTGGTATTTATTTTGTTGTGGCTTCCATGTCAATTGTGGAAACAAGATCAAGAAATACTGATAACATTGTGTTATAAAATAGATTACATCATGTAAAAATGATGCTTTAATCAACTTTCTGTGCCGATAAAGCACATGTAAATATTACAATGCTTATAAAATGATGTTGTTCATTTTACTGATCCTTATTTGCACTAAAATTCATTCATTCATTCAACCTTTATTTAAAAAGATAAATCACATTGAGCCTCAAAGACTCATTTACAAGTGAGACCTGTTTGGACAGACAAAAACAGTGGTAAACTGGACACATGTAGGAGTTGGAAAAAAAGCTTTTCTAACACAACCTATCTACACAATTATTGTATAAAACACACTCAAATTAACATCCTAAGATCCAGAATGGTACCTGATTTTGGAGATGACTACCGGTAGTTATCTCTTATTGTATGAAATCAAACATTAAACAAGGTTAACCTGAACTATATCAAATGGTGCAGTTTGAAAGAGTTTTTTTCTGGTAGTTTTCAGAATCTATTGATAAAAATTTTTGGAAATGTGGATTTGCACTCAGTGTAAACAAAGCACAATACTGAATCTGCCTCAAACCACATGGAAGACAAGTGACTGCCCTACTCAAGGCTGTCTGGTCTGTAGGTAAAAATATATGGTAAAACCAGTTGTCGAGTCTCGAAGATGTTTCTGATAATATGTAAAGAACAGAGGATAAACGAGTACAACAGTCAGTGGATCATCCAAAGACAGAGCTTTGCATACAAACATGCAGCTTTTTGCAAAACGTCTTTAAAAATTGTCGGTATCTTTACAACTTGCTGCTGTTGACCTGATTTCAGTCACTTCGGCTGTTTCTGTAGGTAAACAAACGCACATGGTCATTGGCATCCTTTTGCAAAATTTTCCTAAATTTATTTATTTTTATTCCATCCATCCATTTTCTTCTTTCCGGGTCATGGGGAGTTGATGCCTGTCACCAGCAGTCACTGTGTGAGAGGCGAGGGACACCCTGGACAGGTTGCAAGTCCATCACAGAGACAGAGACAAACGAGACAAACAACCACAATTACTAATGTGCACCACATGATCAAATACAGATATTTATGGTAATCATGTTTGGCGTTCAACTTGGTGTTATGGTCTTTTAAACATGATTTTGATTGAGCTTTTTAATATACATATATTTATAAATTAGTTTTTGTGGTATATGTACTGTATGATAGCAATATGTCTTCAATGTACAATGTTTAGATTTTAGACTTAAGCAGATCCACACCAACCGTTGATAAAAGTGAATGCAAAGATGAAACCTCAAACTTAAGAGTAATTTCTAGTAATTTGTCATCGGATATAGAGACCACAGTCAGTGATAGTAACAACTGTACGCAAACAGCAATTAAATATTGATTAAAGAACCTGTAGTAGACATGAATCTATTTAGACCACAATGCATTGCAAAATACTGACTTGAAGCATGTGCATTAGAAACTGTAAAAATATCTCTATAGATTTACCAGTTATCTTAACATGCAGGGTTTCATTTTATTTTTAAAAATTTTTTGCACGGGCTTTTTAAAAATGTGCAGCCTAAAACATATATTTGAAAAAGGTGCCAAGATGTCTTGCATCATTCTTCATAATTGGGATTACACATTAAAATACTTTAGAACAATGAAATATATAAATATCTTATGGTAATCTCTTTCAAAATAAAACTACTCTCCTGCAAATAAGCACAAAATTTGTCATATGTCTAACAGACTGTACGTCATATAAACAGGTCTTGCTTTGATCCAGAGTTCCTGTTTTGCAAAAACAGGAACAAACTCTCGGGGATATTCAGGATGTGCAGTAAAACTGCTGGCATAGCCCTACAGAACCTCACTGACCTACACTAGACGAGATCAGTGAACAAGGCCAGGCTGATTCTGGCAGATCCTGATCATCGACTCCATGATGAGTTCAGGTTGCTTCCTTCTGGATGCAAGTATCTGCAGCCCAGATGTAGAACGAACAGACTGAAAAACTCATTCATCCCTGTAGCGATCAGGTTTCTCAGCGAACAGTGACGATTGCTGTTATTTTAATGACCTAATGTCTAATATGGATGTTTAGTGTACTGACTGTGAAACAAATTGACCCTTGGGGATAATAAAGATTCTTGAACTTGAACAGTGACATTCATTTGCCACCATGTTTTAAATCAGGAGGTGTCTGAGGTGTTGGAACAGCAGAGGCATCTCATGAAGAGCGTTCTAGACGATACCTGCCTGAACAGACTGCGCCTCGAAGGAGGAACTGTTCTCGCCCGCATCAGGAAGGAAGAAGCGTGCGATAATGAAAGCTACAGGTACGTTTGGACAAACGGCACAGAGACATGTGAAGAAAAGTTGTTTATTTAATATTCAGACTGACACAAGATTGGATTATTTTCAGGGACGCTGTCGAGAAGCTGAGCACTTTGTACAACCAAGTCGACGAGGAGGTTCACAAACTTGTGATCTTATCCAACAAGTCCCAGAAGGAGCTGGAGAGTCAGCTGCAGGTGCAGAAGTTTGAGGAGCAAACGCAACAGGTGACTGCAAAACCCAACATGCACCCTGATCACATCACCTGTACTTCACATTCTCAATCTTAAAATGTGAGTCGTGCTGGCAAGATGATTGACAGTGAGGACTATTTCAGTCTTGAGTTATTCTTTTCAAATTCTCCGCATCTTAAAAGCTTCAAAATGATATAGTTTGTTGAAATCACTGGCCGGCTAACAAGCTAGCTCTGCTTACGACTGTGCCAGTTTGAAAACTTGAATGACGCCTTCAGGAATTTCAGCCCTATATTTAAAATGGGGAACGTCCAAGCTTCAGAATGATGCCAGACATTATACGAAGGGATTTCCCAGCAGAGAAAAATAGTCAGATTCAAAGAAAATCAAAAAGGTTAGAAGACAAAGGATTATCTGAAGACTTACTTGTTAGAAAGCTTTGATTTGGACATAGAATATTAGCTATAACTATATTTTCCTCTAATCTCAAATATATATACATATATATATATATAAAAAAAAATCAACATTTTCACTTATTTTTTCAGCCTTCTCTCATTCCGATTCATTTTGCCAGCGTGGATCACAAATATTGACTAAATAAACAACTTCTCTCTCTTTCTCTATAGATAAAACGCTGGTTTAGTGCAGCAGGAGAGAAGCAGCTCATTCCTCTAGAAACAATAAATCTGTCTTTGGGCAAAATTAAGGAGATGAAGGAGAATTTGAACCAGTTTCTGGAGGAGTCGGTGGTAAAAAATGCTTTAGTGTATTTTTATATTCGGTCGACCATTGATGTGCGACTTTAGGAAGAGACTGTTTGCTTTTTTTCCCCTGACAGCACCAGCAGAGGCTCGGACTGCAGCTTGTGAAAGAGTCCCCAGAGTCTGTTCCAGATTTGGTTCTGCTGGACTTTAAACAACATCTGGGCTCGATCTTGAGCAGAGTGGAGGAGAGGAAGGCTAAACTGGAGATCCTGACAAACCTGTTTGAGTTCTACGACTCGGTATGTGACAAATCATAAAACAATACTAGAATAATTTGCTTTCACTCAAATTAAGGAGAGAAATTATATATTTTGGAGTTAGAAAGGCTATAAACAATCAATATCTTACCTGATGTAGATGGTTCTATGAGCTACATCTAGCAAAACATAGTTTGCTCCTGAATGAACTGTTGCTGTTTGTCAGACTAGCAGTTAGCTTGTCAGAGTTTTTTTTTTTAACTAAATGAAGTTGTTCAAAGAACTATCTAGAGCAGGTAAGATGTTATTTGTTCATAATGTTTCCACAGAACCCAACTTGAACAAATCAGAACTAGCATTAAAAACATTTGTTATCCGTTTCTGTCTACATTTTCTTTCCTAACATATTAATGTCTTCCTGAAAACTAAATAAATAAGAAAAGTTTTAAATTGTTTTCACGTCTTTAGGCAAACCAGTGGACAGACCACTGTCAGGAATACTTCAGTCAGCTGACTCTGGACAGCTCAGATGAGAGAGTTTCACCCTCTGTGGTGCAAATCCTGCAAGATTACTGCGCCGAGGCGTCTAAGTTCTCCGTGGACAACTTCAGCACACTCAATGACATGGTTCTGTCCCTGGAGAGTCCTCGGCAGCTGCAGCAGTGGACCTCCGTGTGGCACAAATGTCAGCAGACCAAGCAGCAGCTGGAGGAGACTTTAGCTCGAGTCACGACATCACCCCAGAGTTTGGCCTCTGCTGATGCAGCAGATTCTTTGAAGAGCGTAGAGCGACATGCTGGTGCCCCAGAACATGGCGGAGCTAATGGATGTGTGCGTTTACCTGAGGTCATACCAGCGCTGACCTTTGAGGATGGAAAGAATCTCTCAGCTGGACCGTTCCCCAGGAGCCCGTCCAGCTCCGTGTCATCAGACTTCCCTTTCCCCCCCTACAGTGGAAGCAAACTGGGCCAGAGCTCGTCCACGTACGACGACACGGACAGCGACGGCACCGTGGACTCCATCTCCTGCCACTCAGAGCCCGTCTACTCCAAAACCACGCGGCTCCGCAAGCAGCCCATGAAGAAGATCATGAAGAAGACCGTGAGCTACGAGCTGACCCCGAGGGACGGCGGCCACTTGGACGTCAGCCACGTTCACGGCTACACGGGGGTCTACATCAAGGGTCTGGAGGTGGCCAATAACGTGTCCGCAGAGAAGAAGCTGCAGAGGCCTGACGTGACGAGTCCTGCGTTGGGCCGCAGCCGCAGCATGTCCACTCCCTCCAGGACGTACACCAGGTGCAGCGAGGGGGAGGGAAAGAAGCAGAGCAGGTGAGGACGCGAACCAGACCCACCAAACAGAAATATGGTGAAACGAGTTGCTCCACAATATAAACCTCATCAGGCTGACTCCACGTTCACGTGTTTCTGTTCAGCAGTAAAGTTCGGCACATCATGGATGAAATGATTTCCACAGAGAGGGAGTACGTCCGCTCCCTCAGCTACATCATCGAGCACTACTTCCCCGAGATGGAGCGCCTGGACCTGCCTCAGGACCTGCGCGGGAAGCGGAGCATCATCTTCGGCAACGTGGAGAAACTGTGGGACTTCCACAGCCAGTACTTCTTGAAGGAGCTGGAGGCGTGCGCCCACTCGCCGCTGTCCATCAGCAGCTGTTTCCTGCGACACGTAAGTCCCCGAAAACTTTCCTGACGAGAAACACAGAGTGCAAAAATAAATAAATAAATAAGTGAAACAAACAGAAATCCAACAGCGATTCCAGTGGGAATAAATCTGGACATTAAATGAACAAATAAATATGGAATTTAAACTAGTTTACAACTATTTAGAAATAAATTTTGTTTTATTATATGAAAAATGAAAAAAGTATAAATAAAAATAGAAAATAATAGTTTTGGAAACTTTTATAACTTAAAAACTTTTCTAAGTAAAGGTTAATGTTTAATAAATATTAACGCAGAACTTTTATATTTTTAATTTGATGTTTTTTTACCTTTTTATTATATATTTGGAATACTTGGCATTAATTATATTAAATAAAAAATTTATAAAATTAACTTTTGTAGAAATTAAAAGTTAAACTATTTAAAAATATATATTTTATTTCTTTAGTATTTTGAACACCATGTTTTTTTTTTATTCTTATGTGGCTCTTTTTTCTCATATTTTAGATATTTTAAGTCAAAATTTATTTTTTTATCATTTTTCTGTCAAGTTTTTAAAAAATGTTTGTATATTTTTGTTGTACTGATCTGAACCCCATTATTATAATATGTCATATTCACTTTTTGAACAACATATTTTTTTAAAAACACAAAGTTTGTTTTCTCAGTCATCCAGGTATATAACAACAA